GGAAAGAGCTTCAGTCAGAGTGGACACCTCAATATACATCTACAGACTCACACAGGGGAGAAACCATATAAATGTATGGAGTGCGGAAAGAGCTTTAGTGATAATGGAAACCTTAGAAGACATCAACGGACTCACACAGGGGAGAAACCATTTAAATGTTTGGATTGTGGAAAGAGCTTCAGTCAGAATGGAGAACTTAAATTGCACCAGAGGATTCACACAGGGGAGAAACCATATAAATGTATAGAGTGCGGAAAGAGCTTTACTGATAATGAACACCTTAGAAAACATCAACGGACTCACACAGGGGAGAAACCATATAAATGCTTGGAGTGCGGAAAGAGCTTTAGTGATAATGGACACCTTAGAAGACATCAACGGACTCACACAGGAGAGAAACCATTTAAATGCCTGGAGTGCGGAAAGAGCTTTACTGATAATGAACACCTTAGAAGACATCAACGGACTCACACAGGGGAGAAACCATATAAATGTCTGGAGTGCGGAAAGAGCTTTTCTGATAATGAACACCTTAGAAGACATCAACGGACTCACACAGGGGAGAAACCATTTAAATGCCTGGAGTGCGGAAAGAGCTTTTCTGATAATGAACACCTTAGAAGACATCAACGGACTCACACAGGGGAGAAACCTTTTAATTGCATTGAGTGTGGAAAGAACTTCAGTCAGAATGGAATCCTTAGAAAACATCAGCAGACACACAGGGGAGAAACTGTTTAAATGTATGGCCTGTGGAAGGAGCTTCAGTCAGACTGGAACCCTTGATTTATGTCAACAAACTCACACAAAACACAAACCTTATAAATATCAGGAAAGTAGATAGAGGTTCAGTCCTAGTACAAGATCTAAATCAACCAATTCACAGACAGGAAGAACTTTAGGAGTTGAAGCCATACAAACAATCAACAAACTCAAAGAGGAGAAGCAGTTTAAATGAAAAGATTGCAAAAGTGCTTTATTTACATACACTTCAGGTTACAGACTCTGCTAACCCAGAAATAGTACCTTGAGTTATGTACTTTGCTTCAGCATGAGAACAGAAATGGTGCTCCAGTGGCGTGGCGGCTGCAGGTGGCCCCATTAGCTAAAGTGGTGCTTCAGGTTAAGAACAGTTTCAGGTAAAGAACAGACCTCTGGAACAAATTAAGTACTTAACCCGAGGTACCACTGTATGGTTGTAAACCAAGGTTCCACTGTATACCCCCAAAGGCTATAAAAACTCCTAGGTCTGGCCAATAAACTCAGGAGCCAGGAGGAGATAAGAGTACGACAATTTTATTACAGGCCGTCAGTATTGGGAATGGGAAAGGACCTTTCAACTTTTTAAAGAAAATTATGGGATGAGAGACTACTCAACAGCCCAGCTCGCCAGGGTACAAGTCCCCTGTGGGTCCATGCGGTCAGTAAATGAAGGAAATTCCAGCCAAGCAATTTGGAGCAAAGAGCAATCAGTAGACTGAGAAACTTTATTGTTGTGCAACAGGTTCAAACAGCAGTGAGGGAACTCTGACCCTGGGGCGACATTGACTTTTTAAACTTTCCCACCAAATCCCAGGATACAGTTCGCACAGCATCATCAATGCATCATTGCTACATCACTAAAACGTCAGAAAGGGGAGGATTACACAAGATTAGCATAGACAGATATGTCAGGGCAACACCCAAGTACAATATTAGGCAAACATGTCTCAACTACCCACCACCCAAAAGGACAACAGAACTTCCTTTAATGTCTGCAGCCTGGTGAGATTTGGCTGGTGATGAGATTTGGCTTCCCTTGGCTAACAGTGAGCCCAGCAATTGTCACCTCTGAGCATTTCCTGGGGTAGGAGGTGTGTCTACACATCTTCACCCTTGGGGAGGTGGTGCTGGTTTCTGTGTGTTGCCACTGTGCCATGCTCTTGGAGTCACAAGACTCTGTTTTGCATTCCAGAGACATTCCAGACTGTTGGAAGTCTCACGGAAGACAGGAGACGGATGTGATGTTACTGTTTCCTGTTCCTTTGTTTTTCAGTTCCTCTCTGCTTTCACAGAGAGAGCATGTATATTTCTTTTCTGTCTGCGTAGTTAGAAATAAAACTCTTTAGCGATGTAGCTAATAAACGTCTCGTCCTTCCCTGCGTTCTGGATACTCTGCTGAATGGGGAGTGTGCTTGGAGCCTCATCAAAGGCTCAGGTCATTAATCATCATCGGAGGAGCTCGGTCGAACCCAAGTCGGACAGGTGGCAGGAAAAAGAGTCCTTTTTCCAAGGGCAAAATAACTTTGGAATGGAGGAAACTGGCAAAGGAGTTGATTTTATATGATTTTTTTAAAGCTAGGTATCTTCCCTGAGCTGTCAAGCCAAAAGGATACATTCAGGCATAATATTTGTAACATTTAACAACTTTAAGGATGTGCCCCACCCCGCCTTGTAATTTCTGTAACAAATACTTTCCTGAGATTTTTTTCTTTTGGGGTGTGTGTCACAGTTCAGCTTCATTCAGAAGAAAACATTGCTAAAGGAGGGGAAATATAAAATGCACATTGAAAACAGCATAATCAGCAAGAGAATAAAATATGATCATAATCCTAGAACACAGACTATATCTTGCTTTTCACCACTTCTGGGTCTTAGAGCAGCTTCCCCCTTCTTTCCTCACAGCCTCAGCCCCTCTTGGCCGATATAGAGACAATAAAATACTTAGACATACACAGAGCTGGAAGCCGGTTATTGCGACGGGGGGGGGGTTCTCCCCCCCCTCTCTCTCTCACACACACACAGGTGGCCCTCCAGCCCCAGCTCCCCTGGCTGAGCTGGAAACACGAGTCTCAATGCAAAGCATACTAAAAGAAAGCTCTTTCCCCAAAAAGTGCAATTTAACTGCTAGCAAAACACACAGAGCGCCCCCCCCCTTTTCCCTGAGACAGGCACAGAGCTGACAGCCCACGGCTCCTTCCATTTCAAGGAACGGGGGTCCCGCACAGCCCTCAGGGCACCTCAGCATCCCATAGATGTCTTTCCTCCGGTGGGGAGGGGGACTATTTTGCTTGCTGAGGGCAGGAGTCACACCCTTGTCACATTGCGGGGTATCAGGCTTTTAGGCAAGGGGGTGAGGCTTGGGTGGGCCAGTCCTGTTCACATTGCATTCTCAGTCCTTTGGGGTTCATCGCTCCACCACAACCCCACTTTCCCACACCTTTTAACTACCCTCTTCCCCAAAGCACCACAACAGTATTCACACATCCCCCTAGCTGCAAGGCTTCCCTGCGCTTCGCCTTGGAAAGTATCAGGATTCAATCCCCCATCCCGATGGATTTCTGTCTTGACTGACCCTCCCCCCCTTCCTGGATTTAACAGCAGCAATACCTAAAACACGGAGGGATCTAAGCTCGTGGCGTGGGGTGGGGGAGGGAAGGATTTTGCAATATAAACATTGTGGGGTGGGGTACCCCACTTTGCAAGTGGATTGCCGGGATCATCCCCTCCCCCATTCTCCTGATTCTCAGGAGGAAGAGGGGAGGGGGGACACCTTCCTCTGCTCCCCGCCCCCCAAATTCCACCCTTCCCAGACCCCGCCTCCGCAAAGCCCAAATCCCCTCCCCAATATGTTGCTCCTCTTCCTCGCCATCCGGCTCCTGCTTCGGGAAAGTGGGGGCGGGGTGAGCCCCCCTCCCAACCTGCCTGCTTCTCCCGCAAGTGGAGCTTCTGCGCCGGATTGCTGCTCTGCGCCGTAGCTCTAGGGGGGCGCGCTTTCGGAAAGGGGAGGAGGGGCGGCAGGTAAATCCCCCCCACCCACGTGGATGTTGCAGGAAAGGAAAGGAGAATCGGGAGCGAGGACAAAAAGGTAAAGGGGTCGCGGGGGGGGGGGAAGGGGAGAGAAGGATCCAGAGACCCCGCCAGCTCCCCAAAGCGCCTTTCGTGGATCTGGATCCCTGCACGCGTTCAGCGAAGGAGGTTTTCCTTGGACCCTTAGGAAGCCCACCCAGGGGATCCCACGAAGCCCCCTCGACCCATTTCCCCGCGCAGGCATCCCTGGGGCGCTGTGGGTTCCGCGCGGAAAGAGGTGGGCCATGAAAGGGTTAAGGGGCATGAGGGACGCCTGGATAGTGACCCCCCTGTCCTCCCCTGCTCGTCTTCGGTGGGGGCCCTCCGGAGGGAGCCATGGGGACGCAGGGCGTGGGGTAAGCCGCGCCAAGGGGGGCCTCTGGGTTCAGTGGAGACTCTGGGACAGAGGGAGGGAGTCGAGGAAGTGGGGAGGGGGAGCATCCCTGGGGCAGGGAAGGGCAGAATTGGGGGGGGGAGAGATAGGAAGCCAGTCTTTGGGGAGACTTATCCATAGTGGCTCCCGTGGGGAATCTCCGGAGGGTCCGCCTTGGCTTCTCCCTCCCACCCAGGAATCGGCCACCCCTTCAAGGCAGCCAGAGGGATCCCTGGAAAGTGGGGGGTCGTATCCCCCCACCCCTTCCTTCCTGGAGCCTCTATCCTCTTTACACCCCATAAGCCCCTGCCCTGTCCAGACTGTTGCAGGAATTTATGTATAGGTTGGGGGGGGGTTGCCCCTCCAGCAGATATCATGCACATGCAGCCCACCACCAAAATCAGCACCATCACTTTTGTGATTTCTTCCCACAAAGCACTTGATCACACTTTCTTCCTGTCTATTCAAAGGACCTCTGCGGCACAATACCAAATGTTTGAATTCACTGATAAATGTCTCTATGTACTGGCTCACTGGGGAAACTTCAGAAATTCCTATAGACATGTGAGCTCAGCTACTCAGCAGCCCCTCTGCCTGAGTGATAATCCCTGGCATCCTGATACCTGAGTGCCGGACAGGTAGCCTTTCCAGAAAGAACCAACCCAGATGAAGACAAAAGGGTGGGATTAACTTGGCTGGGAAACAGGTCAGGGAGGACAATGGATGGCCGGCTGGGGGTGGGGCAAAGAAAGGAGGCCGAGCCCTTTCTCCAAGCCCCTTTTGGTTTTCTTCCTTCCAGGATCAGGATCCTCAGGAGCGTGTCCTGGTGGCCAGATTAAGGTAAATTCTGGCCTGATTGGAAGGGACATGGCCCCTCCACCAGGCTAGGCTGCAATTTTGTGGCTTTTCTTTCTGGGCGGGCGCCCAGATAGGCCAGGGGGGAAACCTTTTTGTTTTGCGGTGGCGGGGGGGGGGGGGCATAGCCATCCACCACCCTCTAGCTGTAGGCCGCATGCCGGCCATTTCCCTTCTGGGGAGGGGGGGAATAAGTCAGGCCACATGGCGGTCATGTTTGTTTGCACTTCCTCCCCCCTTGTTCCACTCTGGCTACTGACGCACTTCTGCTCCTAGAAGGGAAATGCAAATATCTCTTTTCTTTCACCTGATAGATGTTTGGTGGAGGGCAAGGGGAACCATGGGGCAGGGTCCAGGATGCTCAGATTACAGCCACCACACCTCCCCTTTCATAATGTATTTTGGGGACTCTCTAACATTGGGATTAGCAGCTAATAAAATTTTGGGTTCTCTTTTGTACGGGGCTTCCATCTTGTTTCACCTGGTGGCAGGTGGGAGTCCTGTCGCGACCGTCTTCAATAAATACCAAGCCTACTGGCTGCTGTTTTGCTCTGGTATTCCTGGCTGGTGTCCTTGTTTTTTGTCCAGGGGGCCCCTCAGATTTCTCCATTAGCAAGACGCACCTTCCTTCCTGCAAGCTTCACTTGCTTCCCACCCCATAAGCCCCTGCCCTGTCCAGATAATAATAATAATAATAATAATAATAATTTATATCTCACCATTCCCCGGGCGAAGCCGGGCTCATGATCAATTAATTAAAATGCATTCTAAAAGCAACTCATTCTAATATAAAATCAAAATCAAATCAATGGCAGATACAGCAATTCTGCCCGGTCCAACCATTGTTCCCCCTGGAGAGGAGAGGAAATCCCCAGAGGAAGAGGGGAGGGGGAGGCCTTCTCAGAAGCGGCTCTTTGTTTCCTCAATCCCACCCAGGAAGCAGCCAGAAACCTTTTCCTCTCTCTCAGGCTTCCATCTTTAAGCGTCTTTTCCTCTACCTGGTTCATTGAGGATGCAGAAGATGTACACCTGTCGTCAGAAACAGGGGTGCCGAGTCCATGGAATGGCTCTCAGGATTGATATAGAAGTTGCATCTCAAAGGCATTTTTGTTCCTCTAACTTTTTGTAGGCAGTGTCAGACTGACAGACAAGCTGAGATACAATCCATCAAAATTCAATGACAGCGGCTGCGTGAATCTTCCCAGTCAAAGGACCCATTTTCATGATAGACAGCCCCCGTGGCTGGAGGCTCAACCCCCAGGGTGTGCCTATACAGGCCAAAGACTGCCAGCATTAGCACAGGTGAGGTGTGTGACCCCCCCCCCCAATCGACAGGTTGTGTGTCAATGAGAGTTTGTGGGTGGGATTATCGTTTACGACAACTCTGTTGCTCCCACAAGGGAGCACCCAGGGGTCAGAACACTCCTCTCCCAAGACCACTTTCTGAACAAGGCCCAGGAGGAAGGAGGGAACCACTGCAGAGCAGGGTCCCCAGCTCCCCTAGAGGGTCCAGAAGGATACCATGGCCAAAGGTCTCCAAAGCCACTGAGAGATCCAGCAGAACCAGGAAACAGTTTTCCCCTTGGACTCTAGCACATCGGAGATCATCATCCAGCGCAAACCAGGGCAATTTCAGTCCCATGATGAGGCCTGAATCCCCATTGGAAGGATAATGGTGGAAGAAGCTTTCCTGCTGTTCCAGGTACCCCCCTCCCCAGTCATTCAGTTTGTACTTACACGACACACACAACATAGACGACGTTTTTCTTATAAATTTATAGTAAATCAACTGTACATCAGATTTACCGTATTTCCCCCTCTATAACACACAGATTTTTTCTCCTAAAAAGTAAGGGGAAATGTCCATGCGTGTTATTGAGCGAATGTGTGGTCCCTGGAGCCGACTGGCCCGAGTGCATCACACATTTTCTTCGAGGGTCGTCTTCGTTGTGGTCAGCAGAAGCCAGGGAAGTGCTTGCTAGGAGGTTTGGCCACTCTGCAGCGCGACTGTGTGTTTGCTAGTGTGTGTGCTTTGTGAGTGTGTGGTTGCCTGTGTTTGTTCGCTAGCGTGGGTGCTTGGAGGGAGTGAGAGAGTGACGGACTGCTGCATCTTCTCCTGCAATTTGCCTTTTAAAAAATTGGCAGCAGCGGGGCAGTAAAAACCACCTCCGAAAGCCCCATTTTCTTTTCTTTTTTTAATTAAATTTTTATTGAAGTTTTAACATATCAACACAACACAATAACAACACAATAACAAAAAGAAAAAAGAAAAAGAAAAATGACAGACTAAGAAATACAAGAAATAAAACACGTATAACTTCAATTTTTACTTTCTTTTAGCTTGCTTTCACGACTTCCTCATACCTTCCCTTTCTGTATTCTAATTTCTAATTCAATTGTCAGCAAATCCTTCCCCTACTTTTAAATTAGTTTTAATAACAATTATTTTCTTCAGATTATCCCTTGCCGCTTTTAACCCCTTAATTTCCAATCCAGCATTTTTCTAACCTTCATTAATTTTACAATATTTCTTTAAATACTCTTTAAATTTTTTCCAATCTTCCTGCGCCGTATCTCTTCCCCTGGTCACGGATTCTGCTCGTCATTTCCGCCAGTCCCATGTAGTCTATCACCTTCAGTTGCCATTCTTCCACGGTGGGTAGTTCTTGCGTCTTCCAGTACTTTGCGATGAGTATTCTTGCTGCTGTTGTGGCATACATAAAAAATGTTCTATCCTTCTTTGACACCAATTGGCCAACTATGCCCAGGAGGAAGGCCGAAAGCCCCATTTTCCCCTCCTAAGGCTGCAGCTCGGCTTTGGGAGCCCTGAACCCCTGCCTTGTTCTTGAGGGATCTTTGAGGTTTTCCCTTTAGCTTTAACCCAGCCCCCTTTATTTTACCAGTTTATCTTCATTCTCGGTGCGGTAAACTGATTGCAGGCAGCCACACATGCACGTTCGAGCCTCCCGAGAGAGAAAGCTGTTGCTTTCCTGCATTCTGCCCCAGGGTCTTACTGCCCACTTTCTTCTGTTTCGTTACTGTGTTTGCTCAAACAGAACAAAGAGCAGAGAAAGCCCCTCCCTTCCAGGCAAGCAGAGGGGAAAGCAGAGCGTCCTTCCTTCTAATTCCTCTCCGTGCTGTGCTCTGGTGCTGCTGCTGCGTCTAGGGACTCGCAGGCAACATGCAGGTGGGGGGGGGGAGAGAGAGAGAGCTGGCTGGCTTTGGGGGGGGGTGGGAAACTTTTGCCTTTCCTTTCCTCCCTCCGTAAAACCCCTCTCCTGCATTCTTAGCCAGCTGTTTCTCCGCACACCCCTCTCGGTGTCCTTGGCCCTTCTATTTTTCCTTCCTCCCCACTTAAAACATGGTTACAAAGCACGGATCCTCAGGATCTTTGCATTGGGTCACCCCAAATTCACCATTCAGGTCACATAGCAATGATCTGATGCAAAAACAGGTTGCAATGGTGCAAAAACGTGGTTTACAAGCACGGATCCACATGGATCCTCAGGATCTTTGCATTGGGTCACCCCAAATTCACCATCAGATCACATAGCAATGATCTGATGCAAAAACAGGGCTGCAATGGTGCAAAAAACGTGGTTACAAAGCACGGATCCACATGATCCTCAGGATCTTTGCATTGGGTCACCCCAAATTCACCATCAGATCACATAGCATATCCATGGCTACAGCCTGCACCAAAAAAATCACGCACCACTGTTGCCCTGGGGCTGCAATGGTACAAAAACGTGGTTACAAAGCATGGATCCACATGGATCCTCAGGATCTTTGCATTGGGTCACCCCAAATTTCACCATCAGATCACATAGCATATCCATGGCTACAGCCTGCACCAAAAAAATCACGCACCCACTGTTGCCTGGGGCTGCAATGGTGCAAAACGGGGTTACCAAAGCACAGATCCACATGGATTCTCAGGATTTTTGCAATTGGGCTAACCCAAACTCACCGTTCAAATCACATGTCTGTGGCCACAGCATGAAGCTCAAAAATGATACATCCACTGTTTCATCAGATATTTTTTTTCTTGTTTTCCTCCTCTAAAAACTATGTGCGTGTTATGGTCAGGTGCGTGTTATCGAGCGAAAAATACGGTACACCGTCCACTTTTATTTTGCCTCCATGAAGAAAGGACTATCAAAGGGCAGCCATAATCCCTTCACCATCCCAGCACATCCACAGGAGCCCTGCCCAGTTGCTATGCCAACCCTGATGGTCCCAGACAGAAGACCATCAAGGTAACAAGAACTTGCATATAGGAGTGGATTCAACATGGACTGGAACAAAGGACAATGATCAGCTCTTCCCTCTGGGGGGCAGGAAACTGCAAACTCCCCTTGTCACATGGAAAGTACTCATGGGGAGGGGGAAAGGGGGGAACCGGCCAGGTGGCAGGACACTCAGGTTACCACCACAACTCCTCCCTCAACCCCTCCTTTTTGTGATGTATCAGTGATGTAGTTGTGATGTAGTTTTAGGGGTGTAGTTTGAGAATTAGTAACTAATAAAAGTTGGGGTCTTCTTTTGTTGTGGGCTTCCATCTTGTTTCACCTGGTGGCAGGTGGGAGTCCTGTCGCGACAGTTTTCAGTAACGACCAAGCCTCCTGGCTGCTGTTTTGCTCTGGTATTCCTGGCTGCTGTCCTTGTTTTTTGTCCAAGGGAGCCCTCAGATTTCTTCATTTAACACTGGTCCTGCCACCCCCAAAAGCTCCAGGCACAAGACTTTCATTAGCATTGAAGGGGCCATCGGATACTTGGTGATCTTTTCTCAAAAGACAAATATTCTGAATAATTTTTAATTGATGTATGATATAAACAGCACTTCTGTTTTACATATTCCACATTGGAGAGATTTTGATACCACAGGTCTGAGTTCATCGCTCCCCCCGAAACTGATGTGTTAGCAGTCCTGCAGCCTGGACAGTGTGTTTGGGGGTCCTGGGCTGCCTAGACAACAAGACCCCCTTCTCCAGCCTGGCTTATATGTCCCAAGGAAAGCAGAGCAATACGTTAGGCACCAGCTTGGCTGCAGGAGTTGAATGAAGAAGATGTGCAGGACACCATCAACTGTCTTAGAGAGTCCACTCTGGATTTGTGTAATTTCTCCTTCCATAGCCTTTTCTTCTCCTGAAGATAACTCACGAGGAAGCGAAGGAGTGCACCAAAGTATTACGACCAAAGTTTTCCTTCTCGAGGAGCTCCCTTCCCAGGTTGATGAGCCCCATCTGCCCTTCACTTTCCTCTGCAGCATGGGCAGAATCTGCCTTCTTGACTGTGGGATTCACTGTTGTTCTCATCCTCTCCATCCACCAGGGCCTTTCTTCACCTGCAGCAGAATTCCCCAACCCACCAAGAATTTGAGAACCCATCAGATATCCTCACCTGGTTTAGCCGGTCGGTTGAAGCTGTTCCTGGGATTGTGGCCCGTATTGCATCCTGACAGCTTCTGGAAGCCAGAGGTGAGAGCTGAGTGCAGGGTGGGGACCACTGGTGGATAAATTACCCCATAAGGTGCATGACATTTCCCCCACCAAAGGTACTACCGCTCCCCTAACACCCCATGACATCGTATGATTATGATCTTTAAGACAGAACAGGAATAAATTCATGTCCCCTTCAAGCCATTAATGAATCAATACTACATTTTCAAGATACTACACATTCCACTAAGTACAGTTTATCTATTTGCCTTGAATATCCTGCTTTTCGGTGTCGTTTTAGGATAGTCCTGCACAAGATCAGACAGCACATCGTTCTTTAAAATATCAAGCTGCTTTATTAACATTGATTGAAGATTTTGAAAGTTGCTCATAAATTACTATCATTTGACATTGCAACTTCACTTGGGAACATGGGTAGGAGGTGAGGGAATGTAGGAGATGTTGAAATAGGAGAAGGTGCAAATGGAGCTTGATGTGTTCTCTTTCCCTTTGTTCTCTTCCTTGAAACCAAAATAGGGTTCCCTTTCCTCCCACTCTGAAGAAGGAGATGGAGAAGACAGTCAGAACTCCAGGGGATGGGGCACAATTCCTCCCCATTAGGGATAGAAATTAAAATGTGTGAAATGCGGAATATGCATCATTGAATGAGCACACATAGTTCACATCAATGACCTCCAGCAGGGGAGAAACCGTTTAAAGGTATGGAGTGTGGGAAACGTTTCACTGATATTGGAAAACTTAGAACAAATCAGCGGACTCACATGGGCAGGAAAGGACTGCAATGCGGGGAGTGTGGGAAGAACTTCAGTCAACATGGACACTTAAGACTACATCAACGGACTCCCACAAGGGAAAAAACTTTTAAATGTCTGGATTGTGGAAAGAGCTTCTATCGGAGTGATAAACTTAGGAGACATCAACAGATTCACACGGGGGAGAAACCATTTAAATGCATGCAGTGCGGAAAGAGCTTTTCTAATAATGAAAACCTTAGAACACATCACCGGACTCACACAGGACAGAAACCATTTAAATGCCTGGAGTGCGGAAAGAGCTTCAGTCGGAATGGAGACCTTAGAACACATCAACGGACTCATACAGGGGAGAAACCATATAAATGTATGGAGTGTGAGAAGAGTTTTCGTATTAGTGAAAGCCTTAGAAGACATCAACGGACTCACACAGGGGAGAAACCATTTAAATGCTTGGAGTGCGGAAAGAGCTTCAGTCAGAATGGAGACCTTAAATTACACCAGCGGATTCACACAGGGGAGAAACCATATAAATGCCTGGAGTGCGGAAAGAGCTTCAGTCAGAGTGGACACCTCAATATACATCTACAGACTCACACAGGGGAGAAACCATATAAATGTATGGAGTGCGGAAAGAGCTTTAGTGATAATGGAAACCTTAGAAGACATCAACGGACTCACACAGGGGAGAAACCATTTAAATGTTTGGATTGTGGAAAGAGCTTCAGTCAGAATGGAGAACTTAAATTGCACCAGAGGATTCACACAGGGGAGAAACCATATAAATGTATAGAGTGCGGAAAGAGCTTTACTGATAATGAACACCTTTTAGAAAACATCAACGGACTCACACAGGGGAGAAACCATATAAATGCTTGGAGTGCGGAAAGAGCTTTAGTGATAATGGACACCTTAGAAGACATCAACGGACTCACACAGGAGAGAAACCATTTAAATGCCTGGAGTGCGGAAGAGCTTTACTGATAATGAACACCTTAGAAGACATCAACGGACTCACACAGGGGAGAAACCATATAAATGTCTGGAGTGCGGAAAGAGCTTTTCTGATAATGAACACCTTAGAAGACATCAACGGACTCACACAGGGGAGAAACCATTTAAATGCCTGGAGTGCGGAAAGAGCTTTTCTGATAATGAACACCTTAGAAGACATCAACGGACTCACACAGGGGAGAAACCTTTAATTGCATTGAGTGTGGAAAGAACTTCAGTCAGAATGGAATCCTTAGAAAACATCAGCAGACACACAGGGGAGAAACTGTTTAAATGTATGGCCTGTGGAAGGAGCTTCAGTCAGACTGGAACCCTTGATTTATGTCAACAAACTCACACAAAACACAAACCTTATAAATATCAGGAAAGTAGATAGAGGTTCAGTCCTAGTACAAGATCTAAATCAACCAATTCACAGACAGGAAGAACTTTAGGAGTTGAAGCCATACAAACAATCAACAAACTCAAAGAGGAGAAGCAGTTTAAATGAAAAGATTGCAAAAGTGCCTTTATTTACATACACTTCAGGTTACCTTGAGTTATGTACTTTGCTTCAGCATGAGAACAGAAATGGTGCTCCAGTGGCGTGGCGCCACAGGTGGCCCCAATTAGCTAAAGTGGTGGCTTCAGGTTAAGAACAGTTTCAGGTTAAGAAGGGACCTCCTGGAACAAATTAAGTACTTACCCGAGTACCACTGTATGGTTTAAACCAAGGTTCCACTGTATTACCCCCAAAGGCTATAAAAACTCCTAGGTCTGGCCAATAAACTCAGGAGCCAGGAGGAGGTAAGAGTCGACGATTTTATCACAGGCAGTCAGTATTGGGAATGGGAAAAGGACCTTTCAACTTTTTAAAGAAAATTATGGGATGAGAGACTACTCAACAGCCAGCTTGCCAGGGTACAAGTCCCCTGTGGGTCCATGCGGTCAGTAAATGAAGGAAATTCCAGCCAAGCAATTTGGAGCAAAGAGCAGTCAGTAGACTTAGATCCTTTATTGTTGTGCAACTGGTTCAAACAGCAGTGAGGGAACTCTGACCCTGGGGCGACACTGACTTTTAAAACTTTCCCACCAAATCCCAGGATACAGTTCGCACAGCATCATCGATACATCATTGCTACATCACTAAAACGTCAGAAAGGGGAGGATTACACAAGATTAGCATAGACAGATATGTCAGGGCAACACCCAAGTACAATATTAGGCAAACATGTCTCAAGTACCCCACCACCCAAAAGGACAACAGAACTTCCTTTAATGTCTGCAGCCTGGTGAGATTTGGCTGGTGATGAGATTTGGCTTCCCTTGGCTAACAGTGAGCCCAGCAATTGTCACCTCTGGCATTTCCTGGGGTAGGAGGTGTGTCTACACATCTTCACCCTTGGGGAGGTGGTGCTGGTTTCTGTGTGTTGCCACTGTGCCGTGCTCTTGGAGTCACAGGACTCTGTTTGCATTCCAGAGACATTCCAGACTGTTGGAAGTCTCACGGAAGACAGGAGACGGATGTGATGTAACTGTTTCCTGTTCCTATATTTTTCAGTTGCTCTCTGCGTTCACAGAGAGAGCATGTATATTTCTTTTCTGTCTGCGTAGTTAGAAATAAAACTCTTTAGCAATGTAGCTAATAAACTTCTCGTCCTTCCCTGCGTTCTGGATACTCTGCTGAATGGGGAGTGTGCTTGGAGCCTCATCAAAGGCTCGGGTCATTAATCATCATCGGAGGAGCTCGGTCGAACCCAAGTCCGACAGGTGGCAGGAAAAAAGAGTCCTTTTTCCAAGGGCAAAATAGCTTTGGAATGGAGGAAACTGGCAAAGGAGTTGATTTTATATGATTTTTTTAAAGCTAGGTATCTTCCCTGAGCTGTCAAGCCAAAAGGATACATTCAGGCATAATATTTGTAACATTTAACAACTTTAAGGATGTGCCCCACCCCGCCTTGTAATTTCTGTAACAAATACTTTCCTGAGATTTTTTCTTTTGGGGGGGTGTCACAGTTCAGCTTCATTCAGAAGAAAACATTGCTAAAGGAGGGGAAATATAAAATGCACATTGAAAACAGCATAATCAGCAAGAGAATAAAATATGATCATAATCCTAGAACACAGACTATATCTTGCTTTTCACCACTTCTGGGTCTTAAAGCAGCTTCCCCCTCTTTCCTCACAGCCTCAGCCCCTCTTGGCCGATATAGAGACAATAAAATACCGAGACATACACAGAGCTGGGAGCCGGTTATTGGGGGGGGGGGGTTCTCCCCCCCGTCTCTCACACACACAGGGGGCCCTCCCGCCCCAGCTCCCCTGGCTGAGCTGGAAACACGAGTCTCAATGCAAAGCACACAAAAAGAAAGCTCTTTCCCCACAAAGTGCAATTTTAACTGCTAGCAAAACACACAGAGCATCCCTTCCCCTTTTCCCTGAGACACACACAGAGCTGACAGGCCACAGCTCCCTCCATTTCAAGGAACGAGGGTCCCGCACAGCCCTCAGGGCACCTCAGCATCCCATAGATTGCTTTCCTCCGGTGGGGAGGGGAACTATTTTGCTTGCTGAGGGCAGGAGTCACGATCCTGTCACATTGCGGGGTGTCAGGCTTTTAGGCAAGGGGGTGAGGCTTGGGTGGGCCAGTCCTGTTCACAGTGCATTCTCAGTCCTTTGGGGTTCATCGCTCCACCACAACCCCACTTTCCATCACCTTTTAACTACCCTCTTCCCCAAAGCACCACAACAGTATTCACACATCCCCCTAGCTGCAAGGCTTTCCTGAGCTTCACCTTGGAAAGTATCAGGATTCAATCCACCATCCCGATGGATTTCTGTCTTGACTGCCCCCCCCCCTGGATTTAACAGCAGCAATACCTAAAACACGGAGGGATCTAAGCTCGTGGCGTGGGGTGGGGGAGGGAAGGATTTTGCAATATAAACATTGTGGGGTGGGGTACCCCACTTTGCAAGTGGATTGCCGGGATCAGCCCCTCCCCCATTCTCCTGATTCTCAGGAGGAAGAGGGGAGGGGGGACACCTTCCTCTCCTCCCCGCCCCCCAAGTTCCACCCTTCCCAGACCCCGCCTCCGCAAAGCCCAAATCCCCTCCCCAATATGTTGCTCCTCCTCATCGCCATCCGCCTTCTGTTCCGGGAATAAGGGGGGGGGGTGAGCCCCCTCCCAAACTGCCTGCTTCTCCCGCAAGTGGAGCTTCTGCGCCGGATTGCTGCTCTGCCCCGTAGCTCTAGGGGCGCGCGCTTTCGGAAAGGGGAGGAGGGGCGGCAGGTAAATCCCCCCCACCCACGTGGATGTTGCAGGAAAGGAAAGGAGAATCGGGAGCGAGGACAAAAAGGTAAAGGGGTCGCGGGGGGGGGAAGGGGAGAGAACGATCCAGAGACCCTGCCAGCTCCCCAAAGCGCCTTTCGAGGATCTGGATCCCTGCACGCGTACAGCGAAGGAGGTTTTCCTTGGACCCTTAGGAAGCCCACCCAGGGGATCCCACGAAGCCCCCTCGCCCCATTTCCCCGCGCAGGCATCCCTGGGACTCTGTGGGTTCCGCGCGGAAAGTGGTAGGCCATGAAAGGGTTAAGGGGCGTGAGGGACGCCTGGATAGTGACCCCCTGTCCTCCCCTGCTCGTCTTGGGTGGGGGGCCCTCCGGATGGAGAGATGGGGGCGCAGGGCGTGGGGTAAGCCGCGCCAACGGGGGCCTCTGGGTTCAGTGGAGACTCTGGGACAGAGGGAGGGAATCGAGGAAGTGGGGAGGGGGAGCATCCCTGGGGCAGGGAAGGGCAGAATTGGGGAGGGGGAGATAGGAAACCAGTCTTTGGGGAGACTTATCCATAGTGGCTCCCGTGGGGAATCTCCGGAGCCTTGGCTTCTCCCTCCCACCCAGGAATCGGCCACCCCTTCAAGGCAGCCAGAGGGATCCCTGGAAAGTGGGGGGTCGTGTCCCCCCACCCCTTCCTTCCTGCAACCTCTATCCTCTTTACACCCCATAAGCCGCTGACCTGTCCAGACTGTTGCAGGAATCTATGTATAGGTTGGGGGTGGTTGACCCTCCAGCAGATATCATGCACATGCAGCCCACCACCAAAATCAGCACCATCACTTTTGTGATTTCTTCCCAGAAAACACTTCATCAAAGTTTATTCCTATCTATTCAAAGGGCCTTTGCTGCACAATACCAAATGTAAGAAGTCACTGATAAATGTCTCTATGTACTGGCTCGCTGGGGAAACTTCAGAAATTCATATGGACATGTGAGCTCAGCTACTCAGCAGCCCCTCTGCCTGAGGGATAATCCCTGGCATCCTGATACCTGAGTGCCGAACAGGTAGCCATTCCAGAAAGAACCAACCCAGATGAAGACAAAAGGGTGGGATTAACTTGGCTGGGAAACAGGTCAGGGAGGACAATGGGTGGCCGGCCGGGGGCAGATCAAAGGCCAAAGAAAAGAGGCCGACCCCTTTGTCCAAGCCCCTTTTGGTTTTCTTCCTTCCAGGATCAGGATCCTCAGGAGCGTGTCCTGGCGGCCGGATTAAGGTAAGTTCTGGCCTGATTGGAAGGGACATGGCCCCTCCACCAGGCTAGGCTGCAATTTTGTGGCTTTTCTTTCTGGGCGGGTGCCCAGATAGGCTGGGGGGAAACCTTTTTGTTTTGCGGTGGCGGGGGGGGGGCATAGCCATCCACCACCCTCTAGCTGTAGGCCGCATGCCGGCCATTTCCCTTCTGGGGAGGGGGGGAATAAGTCAGGCCACATGGCGGTCATGTTTGTTTGCACTTCCTCCCCCCTTGTTCCACTCTGGCTACTGACGCACTTCTGCTCCTAGAAGGGAAATGCAAATATCTCTTTTCTTTCACCTGATAGATGTTTGGTGGAGGGCAAGGGGGAACCATGGGGCAGGGTCCAGGATGCTCAGATTACAGCCACCACACCTCCCCTTTCATAATGTATTTTGGGGACTCTCTAACATTGGGATTAGCAGCTAATAAAATTTTGGGTTCTCTTTTGTACGGGGCTTCCATCTTGTTTCACCTGGTGGCAGGTGGGAGTCCTGTCGCGACCGTCTTCAATAAATACCAAGCCTACTGGCTGCTGTTTTGCTCTGGTATTCCTGGCTGGTGTCCTTGTTTTTTGTCCAGGGGGCCCCTCAGATTTCTCCATTAGCAAGACGCACCTTCCTTCCTGCAAGCTTCACTTGCTTCCCACCCCATAAGCCCCTGCCCTGTCCAGATAATAATAATAATAATAATAATAATAATTTATATCTCACCATTCCCCGGGCGAAGCCGGGCTCATGATCAATTAATTAAAATGCATTCTAAAAGCAACTCATTCTAATATAAAATCAAAATCAAATCAATGGCAGATACAGCAATTCTGCCCGGTCCAACCATTGTTCCCCCTGGAGAGGAGAGGAAATCCCCAGAGGAAGAGGGGAGGGGGGAGGCCTTCTCAGAAGCGGCTCTTTGTTTCCTCAATCCCACCCAGGAAGCAGCCAGAAACCTTTTCCTCTCTCTCAGGCTTCCATCTTTAAGCGTCTTTTCCTCTACCTGGTTCATTGAGGATGCAGAAGATGTACACCTGTCGTCAGAAACAGGGGTGCCGAGTCCATGGAATGGCTCTCAGGATTGATATAGAAGTTGCATCTCAAAGGCATTTTTGTTCCTCTAACTTTTTGTAGGCAGTGTCAGACTGACAGACAAGCTGAGATACAATCCATCAAAATTCAATGACAGCGGCTGCGTGAATCTTCCCAGTCAAAGGACCCATTTTCATGATAGACAGCCCCCGTGGCTGGAGGCTCAACCCCCAGGGTGTGCCTATACAGGCCAAAGACTGCCAGCATTAGCACAGGTGAGGTGTGTGACCCCCCCCCCCAATCGACAGGTTGTGTGTCAATGAGAGTTTGTGGGTGGGATTATCGTTTACGACAACTCTGTTGCTCCCACAAGGGAGCACCCAGGGGTCAGAACACTCCTCTCCCAAGACCACTTTCTGAACAAGGCCCAGGAGGAAGGAGGGGAACCACTGCAGAGCAGGGTCCCCAGCTCCCCTAGAGGGTCCAGAAGGATACCATGGCCAAAGGTCTCCAAAGCCACTGAGAGATCCAGCAGAACCAGGAAACAGTTTTCCCCTTGGACTCTAGCACATCGGAGATCATCATCCAGCGCAACCAGGGCAATTTCAGTCCCATGATGAGGCCTGAATCCCCATTGGAAGGATAATGGTGGAAGAAGCTTTCCTGCTGTTCCAGGTACCCCCCTCCCCAGTCATTTCAGTTTGTACTTACACGACACACACAACATAGACGACGTTTTTCTTATAAATTTATAGTAAATCAACTGTACATCAGATTTACCGTATTTCCCCCTCTATAACACACAGATTTTTTCTCCTAAAAAAGTAAGGGGAAATGTCCATGCGTGTTATTGAGCGAATGTGTGGTCCCTGGAGCCGACTGGCCCGAGTGCATCACACATTTTCTTCGAGGGTCGTCTTCGTTGTGGTCAGCAGAAGCCAGGGAAGTGCTTGCTAGGAGGTTTGGCCACTCTGCAGCGCGACTGTGTGTTTGCTAGTGTGTGTGCTTTGTGAGTGTGTGGTTGCCTGTGTTTGTTCGCTAGCGTGGGTGCTTGGAGGGAGTGAGAGAGTGACGGACTGCTGCATCTTCTCCTGCAATTTGCCTTTTAAAAAATTGGCAGCAGCGGGGCAGTAAAAACCACCTCCGAAAGCCCCATTTTCTTTTCTTTTTTTAATTAAATTTTTATTGAAGTTTTAACATATCAACACAACACAATAACAACACAATAACAAAAAGAAAAAAGAAAAAGAAAAATGACAGACTAAGAAATACAAGAAATAAAACACGTATAACTTCAATTTTTACTTTCTTTTAGCTTGCTTTCACGACTTCCCTCATACCTTCCCTTTCTGTATTCTAATTTCTAATTCAATTGTCAGCAAATCCTTCCCCTACTTTTAAATTAGTTTTAATAACAATTATTTTCTTCAGATTATCCCTTGCCGCTTTTAACCCCTTAATTTCCAATCCAGCATTTTTCTAACCTTCATTAATTTTACAATATTTCTTTAAATACTCTTTAAATTTTTTCCAATCTTCCTGCGCCGTATCTCTTCCCTGGTCACGGATTCTGCTCGTCATTTCCGCCAGTCCCATGTAGTCTATCACCTTCAGTTGCCATTCTTCCACGGTGGGTAGTTCTTGCGTCTTCCAGTACTTTGCGATGAGTATTCTTGCTGCTGTTGTGGCATACATAAAAAATGTTCTATCCTTCTTTGACACCAATTGGCCAACTATGCCCAGGAGGAAGGCCGAAAGCCCCATTTTCCCCTCCTAAGGCTGCAGCTCGGCTTTGGGAGCCCTGAACCCCTGCCTTGTTCTTGAGGGATCTTTGAGGTTTTCCCTTTAGCTTTAACCCAGCCCCTTATTTTACCAGTTTATCTTCATTCTCGGTGCGGTAAACTGATTGCAGGCAGCCACACATGCACGTTCGAGCCTCCCGAGAGAGAAAGCTGTTGCTTTCCTGCATTCTGCCCCAGGGTCTTACTGCCCACTTTCTTCTGTTTCGTTACTGTGTTTGCTCAAACAGAACAAAGAGCAGAGAAAGCCCCTCCCTTCCAGGCAAGCAGAGGGGAAAGCAGAGCGTCCTTCCTTCTAATTCCTCTCCGTGCTGTGCTCTGGTGCTGCTGCTGCGTCTAGGGACTCGCAGGCAACATGCAGGTGGGGGGGGGGGAGAGAGAGAGAGCTGGCTGGCTTGGGTGGGTGGGTGGGTGGGGGAACTTTTGCCTTCCTTTCCTCCCTCCGGTAAAACCCCTCTCCTGCATTCTTAGCCAGCTGTTTCTCCGCACACCCCTCTCGGTGCTCCTTGCCCCTTCTATGTTTTTCCTTCCCTCCCCACTTAAAACATGGTTACAAAGCACGGATCCTCAGGATCTTTGCATTGGGTCACCCCAAATTCACCATCAGGTCACATAGCAATGATCTGATGCAAAAACAGGTCTGCAATGGTGCAAAAATGTGGTTACAAAGCACGGATCCACATGGATCCTCAGGATCTTTGCATTGGGTCACCCCAAATTCACCATCAGATCACATAGCAATGATCTGATGCAAAAACAGGGCTGCAATGGTGCAAAAACGTGGTTACAAAGCACGGATCCACATGGATCCTCAGGATCTTTGCATTGGGTCACCCCAAATTCACCATCAGATCACATAGCATATCCATGGCTACAGCCTGCACCAAAAAAATCACGCACCCACTGTTGCCTGGGGCTGCAATGGTACAAAAACGTGGTTACAAAGCATGGATCCACATGGATCCTCAGGATCTTTGCATTGGGTCACCCCAAATTCACCATCAGATCACATAGCATATCCATGGCTACAGCCTGCACCAAAAAAATCACGCACCCACTGTTGCCTGGGGCTGCAATGGTGCAAAAACGTGGTTACAAAGCACAGATCCACATGGATTCTCAGGATTTTTGCATTGGGCTAACCCAAACTCACCGTCAAATCACATGTCTGTGGCCACAGCATGAAGCTCAAAAATGATACATCCACTGTTTCATTCAGATATTTTTTTTCTTGTTTTCCTCCTCTAAAAACTATGTGCGTGTTATGGTCAGGTGCGTGTTATCGAGCGAAAAATACGGTACACCGGTCCACTTTTATTTTGCTCCATGAAGAAAGGACTATCAAAGGGCAGCCATAATCCCTTCACCATCCCAGCACATCCACAGGAGCCCTGCCCAGTTGCTATGCCAACCCTGATGGTCCCAGACAGAAGACCATCAAGGTAACAAAGAACTTGCATATAGGAGTGGATTCAACATGGACTGGAACAAAGGACAATGATCAGCTCTTCCCTCTGGGGGCAGGAAACTGCAAACTCCCCTTGTCACATGGAAAGTACTCATGGGGAGGGGGAAAGGGGGGAACCGGCCAGGTGGCAGGACACTCAGGTTACCACCACAACTCCTCCCTCAACCCCTCCTTTTTGTGATGTATCAGTGATGTAGTTGTGATGTAGTTTTAGGGGTGTAGTTTGAGGAATTAGTAACTAATAAAAGTTGGGGTCTTCTTTTGTTGTGGGCTTCCATCTTGTTTCACCTGGTGGCAGGTGGGAGTCCTGTCGCGACAGTTTTCAGTAACGACCAAGCCTACAGGCTGCTGTTTTGCTCTGGTATTCCTGGCTGCTCTCCTTGTTTTTTGTCCAAGGGAGCCCTCAGATTTCTTCATTAACACTGGTCCTGCACCCCCAAAAGCTCCAGGCACAAGACTTTCATTAGCATTGAAGGGGCCATCGGATACTTGGTGATCTTTTCTTCAAAAGACAAATATTCTGAATAATTTTTAATTGATGTATGATATAAACAGCACTTCTGTTTTACATATTCCACATTGGAGAGATTTTGATACACAGGTCTGAGTTCATCGCTCCCCCGAAACTGCTGTGTTAGCAGTACTGCCAGCCTGGACAGTGTGTTTGGGGGTCCTGGGCTGCCTAGACAACAAGACCCCCTTCTCAGCCTGGCTTATATGGTCCCAACGAAAGCAGAGCAATACGTTAGGCACCAGCTTGGCTGCAGGAGTTGAATGAAGAAGATGTGCAGGACACCATCCAACTGTCTTAGAGAGTCCACTCTGGATTTGTGTAATTTCTCCTCCATGGCCTTTTCTTCTCCTGAAGATAACTCACGAGGAAGCGAAGGAGTGCACCAAAGTATTACGACTAGAGTTTTCCTTCTCGAGGACCTCCCTTCCCAGGTTGATGAGCCCCATCTGCCCTTCACTTTCCTCTGCAGCATGGGCAGAATCTGCCTTCTTGACTGTGGGATTCACTGTTGTTCTCATCCTCTCCATCCACCAGGGCCTTTCTTCACCTGCAGCAGAATTCCCCAACCCACCAAGAATTTGAGACCCATCAGATATCCTCACCTGGTTTAGCCGGTCGGTTGAAGCTGTTCCTGGGATTGTGGCCCCTATTCCATCCTGACAGCTTCTGGAAGCCACAGGTGAGAGCTGAGTGCAGGGTGGGGACCACTGGTGGATAAATTACCCCATAAGGTGCATGACATTTCCCCCACCAAAGGTACTACCGCTCCCCTAACACCCCATGACATCGTATGATTATGATCTTTAAGACAGAACAGGAATAAATTCATGTCCCCTTCAAGCCAGTAATGAATCAATACTACATTTTCAAGATACTACACATTCCACTAAGTACAGTTTATCTATTTGCCTTGAATATCCTGCTTTTCGGTGTCGTTTTAGGATAGTCCTGCACAAGATCAGACAGCACATCGTTCTTTAAAAAATCAAGCTGCTTTATTAACATTGATTGAAGATTTTGAAAGTTGCTCATAAATTACTATCATTTGACATTGCAACTTCACTTGGGAACATGGGTAGGAGGTGAGGGAATGTAGGAGATGTTGAAATAGGAGAAGGTGCAAATGGAGCTTGATGTGTTCTCTTTCCCTTTGTTCTCTTCCTTGAAACCAAAATAGGATTCCCTTTCCTCCCACTCTGAAAAAGGAGATGGAGAAGACAGTCAGAACTCCAGGGGATGGGGCACAATTCCTCCCCATTAGGGATAGAAATTAAAATGTGTGAAATGCGGAATATGCATCATTGAATGAGCACACATAGTTCACATCAACGACCTCCAGCAGGGGAGAAACTGTTTAAAGGTATGGAGTGTGGGAAACGTTTCGCTGATATTAGAAAACTTAGAACAAATCAGCGGACTCACATGGGCAGGAAAGGACTGCAATGCAGGGAGTGTGGGAAGAACTTCAGTCAACATGGACACTTAAGATTACATCAACGGACTCACACAAGGGAAAAAACTTTTAAATGTCTGGATTGTGGAAAGAGCTTCTATCGGAGTGATAAACTTAGAACACATCAACAGACTCACACAGGGGAGAAACCATATTATTGTATGGAGTGCGGAAAGAGCTTCAGTCAGAGTGGACACCTCAATATACATCTACAGACTCACACAGGGGAGAAACCATATAAATGTATAGAGTGCGGAAAGAGCTTTACTGATAATGGACACCTTAGAAGACATCAACGGACTCACAGAGGAGAGAAACCATTTAGATGCCTGGAGTGCGGAAAGAGCTTTTCTGATAATGAACACCTTAGAACACATCAACGGACTCACACAGGGGAGAAACCATTTAAATGCCTGGAGTGCGGAAAGAGCTTCAGTCAGAATGGAGACCTTAAATTACACCAGCGGATTCACACAGGGGAGAAACGATATAAATGTATGGAGTGTGAGAAGAGTTTTAGTATTAGTGGAAACCTTAGAAGACATCAACGGACTCACACAGGGGAGAAACGATTTAAATGCCTGGAGTGCGGAAAGAGCTTCAGTCAGAATGGAGCCCTTAAATTACACCAGCGGATTCACACAGGGGAGAAACCATATAAATGTATGGAGTGTGAGAAGAGTTTTAGTATTAGTGGAAACCTTAGAAGACATCAACGGACTCACACAGGGGAGAAACCATTTAAATGCCTGGAGTGCGGAAAGAGCTTCAGTCAGAATGGAGACCTTAAATTACACCAGCGGATTCACACAGGGGAAAAAACCATATAAATGTCTGGAGTGCGGAAAGAGCTTTACTGATAATGGAACCCTTAGAACACATCAACGGACTCACACAGGGGAGAAACCCTTTAAATGCATGGAGTGCGGAAAGAGCTTCAGTCAGAGTGGACACCTCAATATACATCTACAGACTCACACAGGGGAGAAACCATATAAATGTATAGAGTGCGGAAAGAGCTTTACTGATAATGGACACCTTAGAAGTCATCAACGGACTCACACAGGGGAGAAACCATATAAATGTATAGAGTGCGGAAAGAGCTTTAGTGATAATGGAACCCTTAGAAGACATCAACGGACTCACACAGGAGAGAAACCATTTCAATGCCTGGAGTGCGGAAAGAGCTTTTCTAATAATGAAAACCTTAGAAGACATCAACGGACTCACACAGGAGAGAAACCATTTAAATGCCTGGAGTGCGGAAAGAGCTTTTCTGATAATGAATACCTTAGAAGACATCAACGGACTCACACAGGAGAGAAACCATTTAAATGCCTGGAGTGCGGAAAGAGCTTTTCTGATAATGAATACCTTAGAAGACATCAACGGTCTCACACAGGAGAGAAACCATTTAAATGCCTGGAGTGCGGAAAGAGTTTTACTGATAATGAACACCTTAGAAGACATCAACGGACTCACACAGGAGAGAAACCATTTAAATGCCTGGAGTGCGGAAAGAGTTTTACTGATAATGAACACCTTAGAAGACATCAACGGACTCATACAGGGGAGAAACCATATAAATGTATAGAGTGCGGAAAGAGCTTCAGTCAGAATGGAGACCTTAAATTACACCAGCGGATTCACACAGGGGAGAAACCGTATAAATGCCTGGAGTGCGGAAAGAGCTTTAGTGAGAATGGAAAACTTAGAACACATCAACAGACTCATACAGGGGAGAAACCATATAAATGTATAGAGTGCGGAAAGAGTTTTACTGATAATGAACACCTTAGAAGACATCAACGGACTCATACAGGGGAGAAACCATATAAATGTATAGAGTGCGGAAAGAGCTTCAGTCAGAATGGAGCCCTTAAATTACACCAGCGGATTCACACAGGGGAGAAACCAGATAAATGTATGGAGTGTGAGAAGAGTTTTAGTATTAGTGGAAGCCTTAGAAGACATCAACGGACTCACACAGAGGAGAAACCATTTAAATGCCTGGAGTGCGGAAAGAGCTTCAGTCAGAATGGAGACCTTAAATTACACCAGCGGATTCACACAGGGGAGAAACCATATAAATGTATAGAGTGAGGAAAGAGCTTTACCGATAATGGACACCATAGAAGTCATCAACGGACTCACACAGGAGAGAAACCATATAAATGTATGGAATGTGGAAAGAGCTTTAGTTTGAATGCAACCCTTAGAAGACATCAACGGACTCACACAGGGGAGAAACCTTTTAATTGCATTGAGTGTGGAAAGAGCTTCAGTCAGAATGGAAATCTTAGAAAACATCAGTAGACACACAGGGGAGAAACTGTTTAAATGTATGGCCTGTGGAAGGAGCTTCAGTCAGACTGGAACCCTTGATTTATGTCAACAAACTCACACAAAACACAAACCTTTATAAATATCAGGAAAGTAGACAGAGGTTCAGTCCTAGTAACAAGATCTAAATCAACAGATTCACAGACAGGAAGAACTTTAGGAGTTGAAACCATACAAACAGTCAACAAACTCAAAGAGGAGAAGCAGTTTAAATGAAAAGATTTGCAAAAGTGCTTTATTTACACACACTTCAGGTTACAGAACTCTGCTAACCCAGAAATAGTACCTTGAGTTTATGTACTTTGCTTCAGCATGAGAACAGAAATGGTGCTCCAGTGGCGTGGCGGCCACAAGGTGGCCCCATTAGCTAAAGTGGTGCTTCAGGTTAAGAACAGTTTTCAGGTTAAGAACGGACCTCTGGAACAAATTAAGTACTTAACCCGAGGTACCACTGTATGGTTGTAAACCAAGGTTCCACTGTATACCCCCAAAGGCTATAAAAACTCCTAGGTCTGGCCAATAAACTCAGGAGCCAGGAGGAGATAAGAGTCCGACGATTTTATTACAGGCCGTCAGTATTGGGAATGGGAAAGGACCTTTCAACTTTTTAAAGAAAATTATGGGATGAGAGACTACTCAACAGCCCAGCTTGCCAGGGTACAAGTCCCCTGTGGGTCCATGCGGTCAGTAAACGAAGGAAATTCCAGCCAAGCAATTTGGAGCAAAGAGCAGTCAGTAGACTGAGATCCTTTATTGTTGTGCAACAGGTTCAAACAGCAGTGAGGGAACTCTGACCCTGGGGCAACACTGACTTTTTAAACTTTCCAC